CTTAGCCTTCTGTTGGTAAGCCCTACATGGCCTTAAACCCAACATGACCTTAGACCCTACATGGCATTAAACCTTACATTGCCCTGAGCTCAACAGGGCCCCAAGCACTCCAGGACCCTAAATCCGACGTGGCCCCCAACCCGACATGGCCCCAATCCCGACAGGACCCTTAAACCCTAAAGGACCCCAGGACCACAACCACCAGAGGGCCCCAAACCTAACGCGTCACTAACCCCCCTCGGGGCCATAAACCATACAAAGCCCCTCTGGGGACACTTAGCCCCCACCCCTCCTCCCTATCCCTCCCCATCCCTCCCTCTCCCCATCCTGCCCTTACCCCCACCCTCCTCCTTCCCCTCCCCCTCCTCCCACCCGCCCCTCCAGGCCTGTAAAATTCAAATTGTTAGCAGGTGTATCGGTTCGGCCCCCCAGGGCCCCGATCGGATTCCGCAGGGTGAAATGTTAAAGGGGGGTCTTGTGTTTTCGAGCCGTCGTCGTCGTAGTCGTCGTCGTCGTCGTCGTCGTCGTCGTCTTCATACCCTTCGCGGGCCTGTAACCCCCTTGGGGAGACCCACCTCGGGCCCGTTCTTGACGGCCTGCTTCGAGGTGCTCTGGGCCACCTGGCCCTTGTCCGTGGGCGGGGGCTTGGTGCCCTTGCCCTTGCCCCTGCCCTTGCCCTTGCCCTTGGTCGTGCCCTTCCCCCTGCCTCTGCCCTTGCCGCCCGTGTCCTTCTTGTCAGCTTTCGCTGCCAAGTGACTCCCTGCAGCCTTCGCGGAGGCCAACATCGCCTCCTCCAGCGCATCGGCCTCATCCGCAGCTGCTGCGCCAGGTACCTCGGCTCCACTGGGTGCTGCATCGGCACCTTGACTCCCTGACCCCTGCGAGTCAACCACGGGGGTCAGCGACGCGGTCCCAGGGGACGATGCGGCAGCCATCGGCAAAGTCTCGGCGCTCAGCGTACCGTGGCTCTTGGTGGCACTCGCCGTCGGCCTCAGGTCCTTGAAGTTGGCCAAGCCACAACCGTCCTGAGGCTGGCCACCCTGGAACATCGCCCCGAAGTTCCTCAGAGCTTCGATCTGCTGGAGCATCGCCCCGAAGGTCTGCAGGTTCTGGGCAGTCAAGCTGAGAGGGCCCCCAGCCGACGGAGCTGGCGAGGCGAACGGCACAACGGCCGTAGACGGTGGTTGCTGGGTCTGGAGCGTGGTGCGCGACCTCTTATACCCGAAAGCACTCGCTGCCTTGTCGAGCGCAATCGGCGTGACGGCGCTCGGCGGCGCCACAGGCAACCCCTTGCCCTCGTAGGCGAAGTCCAGCATTGAGCGAGGGAGCTCCGAGGGGAGCACGGGATACTTTACCAAGTGCGTGCCTGGCCACTCGTTCTGCGAGTCCAGTGTCTTGATCGCCTTCTTGAGGGCCTTGGACCACTGCGTCTTCGTCTCGGCTGAGATATCGGAAATCTCTGGAGGGAGGCCCACGAGAAGCACGATTGCAACTCCACGCTTCATCGTCGGAATGCTGGGGCAAGTGAGCCCTAGGCGCCAGAGACGCTGGGCCATGTAGTCAAGCTTCGGGGTCACCGAAGCCGTAGGGTCCTGGAGGAAGGTCCAGTCGGCCTCGGTGAAGTACTTCTCCATGGTCAGCATCGTCTGGTTCGGCCTGGCCGAACCTGTTAGGGCCTTGCCCTTCTTCTGGGCGCAGTTGCCCAAGACTGTAGCCAGAGCAGCGCGCTGCTCGGGTGCCCACGGGGAGTGCAAAGCGGAGACCTCGGCAGAGACTTCCGCGGCGATCTCGAGCGTGATGCCGCTGGTATTCTGGACGCCCAGCGAGAACGCATCCGCTTGCGCCTGCATGATCATGGAGCGGTCTAAGCCCGCGTTCACTTGGGCGGTGGCGAAGGCCACGCGCTGCCTCAAGTTGGCCACGAGGGTATGTGCCACGTTCGTCTGGTCCGACATCCTCCGCGACCGTCGGAAGACGTAAGGTGAACTTAGAAGCGCTAAAAGCTTGTGCCAAAAACGGCTACGGGTGGTGGTCCATGACCAAACTTGCGAGCTGTTGCCATGTGTCCATTGCTGAGCATAGCGTAGCATAACATATGCGGTCAGTGCCATAGCACGCCGTGGACATAGCCATCAACCCGTACCGCAGCATAGCATAGCATATCATTACCATGTGTACATTGTTGTAAAGGGCACCCCCATTACACATCGCTGGGGCCCCCGAGCGAGCATGGCATAGCATAGCGCAACGTATAAGGGCAGCGTAGCATAGCACAGCAAAGCGTGTAAGGGATGACTGGCATAGCGTAGCATAGTGTAACACAGTGGCTCGAAGCTCGGTTTCGTCTGATCTGGAGGCCGCCGATCACCCCCCACACCTGACACTTTTGATGTTTTTCGAGCCGCGCCGAGTTCGGATGACAGCTGAGAGTGGAATTCAGGCTGACGGCTTGAACTCCCCCTGGGGAGTTCAAGCCACGTGCTTGAACTCCCCCTGGGGAGTTCAAGCCACGTGCTTGAACCCCCCCTCAGGAGTTCAAGCCGCGGCTTCATAACTTCTTATTGTTTTCTTTTATGTCATCGAGGCTGACGGCTTGAACTCCCCAGGGGGAGTTCAAGCACGTGGCTTGAACTCCCCAGGGGGAGTTCAAGCACGTGGCTTGAACTCCCCAGGGGGAGTTCAAGCACGTGGCTTGAACTCCCCCTCAGGAATTCAAGCCGTGAGCTCGATCTCGGTGCTGTCGTGTCTGGGCAGTGCGACATCATGGCCAAACCCCTTCAGGCCAAGCCACCCCAGGTCGCCCGTACATACATTCATGAGCGTATCAGGAGTATATCAGGAGTATGTTTTTCCATATACCACTCGCTTCGCGACTACAGCCGACGCCCCCTACTAGTCAGCTTACACTGCCACGCACGGCGCACTTTACTAGTTATGTATGGTTCCTAGCATCTGACCCCAGCGTGTGCGCACCTAACCATACAACGAATTCTAGATCAACCTGCAATGCATCAGAAGCAAAATGCTTGCGCTCACCTTTGGTGCATAACTACCTACACCTATCGGGGCGTGTCAGTGCCTTCGGTCTCTGAGTGGTGCTGGACCTTATACTCTGCCAAGACGCACGCAATCTTCTCAGCGGATGCCTGCATCTGCTCAGGGTCCCCAACACGATCGGCATAGACTTGGCTACCCACTTAGACTTATCACTGCTGTAGTACTTAATAGAGAGGTGCCGCCTGTATGGAATCCAATCGATATCTTCGTTCTCTAAGTCTGGCTTCCACTGCGGGCCATGCTGGCTCTTGGCGTCAAGTAGCAATACCTCTAGGTTCTCTTTGGTCAACTCCATGCGGAGCTTAGTCCTGGAATTAGCTGAAGTCCTGACGGTGAGCGAATGCTGGCAATCGTCGGAGTCCGTCACGTGGACTTCGCATGACCCTTGGGAGGGGGGATGGCGGGGCTTGGCTGATCGACACCAATGCACCGCATCCATATGCCCATCATCATCCCTCCCCTCCTCCTCTGCTCCTCCTTATCCACCTTCTCCTCCGCTCTTGCCTCACCCTCGCTCTCCATCCCCCTCCCTCCTCCCACCCGCCCCACCAGGGCGGTAACCATCAACAAAGAACATGGCTCGGCTCCCCAGGGCCCCGATCAAGATTTTCGGGTCCATGGATGCGCCTGGAATGGTGTCGATCATCTCCTTCTTCGGGCGCTTCGTGAGGGGGCCCTCGGGGACGGGTTGGTCGCCTGCCTCGGCGTCCTGCTGGGCCTTGGCCTCTTTCATGAGCCTATCGCACTCCTCGGTTCGCGCCCTGATGATGGCATCGAGCATCGAGAAGCTACCGCCAACGTATTTAGTGAACTTGCTATCGGTGCGATCGATCGTGATGCACGGTTTCTCTTCGAACTCCTCTTTCAAAGCAAACCAGCTGGATGCTGTGGACGCTGGCTTGTCGTCTTTGGTGATGGCCACCCAGTCCCCAACGATCGAAACCATTGCGATCGGGAATCGGCACTCACGTTCGGGCACCGAGGGAAACTAAATTCTCGAGCTCAGAGTGCGTCGGGCAGAGGCCGCATGAGCAAAAGGAAAGAAGGGCAAGGAGGGAGCCAAGGGGGGGGGGAAGACGAGGATAAGGCGGGAGAGGGTGATACGATAGAGGACGAGGCCGAGGAAGAGGAGGATGAGGAATGGGATGGCGATGACGAGGACGATGGGCGAGGGTAGCGACCAGCGGCCGTCGGCAGCGCCGTCGGCCTAACAGAGGGGCGGCCAACACTGCGTCGAGTGTCTCGCTCCCCTCCTCTTCCTCCTACTTTTCTTCCTATTCCCCGTCCTGGGCCTTCTCCTCCTCCTCCTCATTCCCCCTTCCCGTTCCAATGGATCCGAACATCGCGATTGTGTGTCCAAGCTTTTCGGGGTCTTCCTCCTCCTCCTCCTCCTTCTCCTCCTCTCTGCTTCCTCCTCCATCCTCGTGCTCTACCCCGCCTTCCATCATGTCCGCTGTCTTCCCACGTGATGTGTATTTTCACGTCTCCATCTCTCGAGGGCGGAAGTGCCTGACCCAGTCGACGCTATCCGACTGTGCGATCTGCGGCCCACAACAGATTCACAGCAAGCCCAGGGGCTTGAGGCAACAAAATTCCTTCCTACTAGTGCGCCACCCCTTGAAGCGACTTAGAGGATCCCGAGCCGAGTGGCTCACGTGTTCCCAAACACTTCAACCCTGACCTATATACTTAAGCGTGGCAACCCCCAACTCTGGCCATCGCACGGGCCACCTCCGTTCTGTGCGGGGCGGGGTGGGCGCACTCATTAAAGATGATGTTCACTTACGGCATAGGTTCCAGCAGGTGCCACCGTGCAAAGGATATGGGCGAACTCGAATGGGGCCCGAACCTCATCAACTATGATTTCACGGCGAGTCCAGGGATGGCGACCACTGGCAAGAGGGGGGGGCAAAGCGCCTGAGTAGTGAAGCCGCTCATGGCTACTACTTCTTGCTGCTAGACCCAGAAGGGGAGGCACTCTCCTTCGAAGTGGTCGCAGCCTCGGCGCGCTGGCGGTACAATTTGGCACCCTGCTGAATTGGCTTTGTTTTCCACAAAGCGGGGATAGGAACCTCGATCTTGCACGCGCCGTCCTTCGCAAGACCCAGCGTGGTCCGCTGCACCTCGATCCTGATAGTGCACGGCGTCATATTTACATCAGATTTCGAGTCGGATGCGGGGACGTTCCAAAATGGAATCACCAGCGGGTCTTTCTTGAGCGCCCGCTGTTCGGGGTAGAATACACACGGGAGCACACAGGCACTGCAGTGACTGGGAACATGCGGAAAATCTTGCACGACCACGGCGTTCGCAGGCATTTTATTAGTGGGGCCCACGTGGCACCATAGAGACAAGGGGGTTAAAAACAACTGGTTCTTCTCATATTTTTTCATGGCGATGACCTTATGGACTTCCACCTTAGGGTCCACAGCGTAAGTGACCTGCAGGTTGACAGACTTGCTCGCAATCCTGTAGGCGTGCATCAAGGCCAGCCTCAGCTGGGCCTGTGTGGCCATGAGCGACATCTCGGCGTGGTCCTGCGGCCACCACGCGTTCTCACTCCATCCCCCCCTCCTCTCTCTTCGTCCCGTCCCCCCTCCCTCCTCCCTCTCCTGCTCATTCCTCCCTTCCCCTCCTCCCTCCTTCCTCTTTCTCGTCCTCCCTCGCTTCCTCCCTCCCTCCTCCCTCCCCTCGTCCCTCCCCGCCTCCCTCTCCTCCCTCCCTCCTCCCTCCCTCCTCCCTCCCTCCTCCCTCCCTCCTCCCTCCCTCCTCCCTCCCCTCCTTTCCCCCTGGTGCTGCCTGCTGCTGCTGCTCCTCCTCGCCCTCCTACTCATGATCTTACTTATGTTCATGCTGCGACTTATCGCATCTCCTCTCCTCCCTTTCCTCCGCCCAGTAAGGGAAAAGGGAATGCGGCGGTCCAGCGCGCCGTCAAAGCCCACCACCGCGTAGTTGTGGGTCACCACTTTCGGCACCACCTCGGATGGCCCCCCCGCCCCTCCAGGCCGGCTTATCGGTTCGGCTCCCCAGGGCCCCGATCGGATTCCGTAGGGTGAAATGTTAAGGGGGGGTCGTGTGTTTTCGAGTCGTCGTCGTCGTCGTGGCCTGACCTTGTAGAGGTCCACCAAGTCCCCAGTGGAGATCTTGATGGAGCCGTCCGTGCCGTCCTCGATGTCGTCCTCGTCGGCCTCGTCATCGCCGCACTTGCCCCTCTTCTTGGACTTGGACTTCATGACGGGCGGCTTCTTCCCATCCGCCTTCTCGACGTCGCTCTCGCTCAGAAGTCTCACCTGCGAATCTACGATGCACTTGATGATGTACTTGTCGCCCTCACCCTTCTCCAGGGGCGTCTTCAGCGAAACGGAAGCTCCCTTGATGAGGCCAAGCTGCTTGAGGCGGCCGCCGTCGATGCCGTCCGCCAGCTCTGTGAAGCCAGTGGAGCCGCCAGGACTTCTCCCCTTCTTCTTCGGCTGGGGCTTCTCGGGAGAAAACGGCGGCTCCAGATCCTTCGTCTTGGGGGCCAGCTCGTAGATTCTGGCCGAGAAGTCGGCGCCGACAGCCTCGAGCGACGTGTAAGCCTGCACGCCAGGAGCGGCTTTCTTCATCGTCATCATGACTCCGTTGACCTCCATGGCCCCGAGCTCCTGGACGAAGACCGACCGCTTGAGCGAAGGATCGGTCTTCTGAGCATGATCACCGAACCAGGCTGTAGCAGCCTTGATCATGGTGGACAGCTGGATGCACAAGCCGCGCTGCTTAGTCGCCAAGGCGTTGCAATCACTACCGTTGATGAGCCTGCTCATGTTGGTGCCAGGGGTGACGAACTTCGCTGGCGACTTGATCGCAGCTTTCAAGAGTGAGTAGATCGTCTCGGGGCAGCTTATCAGGTCCAAGTTGGCCAGGACTTTGAATGCCGATCCTGGAACGCATCGGCGTGACTGCAGCGTCTTGCACCACTCGTCGAGGTTCCTCAAGAGCGGCGCGTCGCTGCCTCCGCTCCACTTCTCCACGAACGAGCACATGTCACGCGCGTGGCCACGTAAATGGGAATGCTGGCCCTCGACGTGTCTCGCGACCATGTCCCACATGAACGCGTGCTGTACCTGCATGTTGCGAGCGCCGAGCCGATGCATCTGCATCAGCGCCTGGACGTCCGTCGTGACCCGCCTAGTGTTGTGCCCTCGGTTGGCCGCTGCTTGGATGAAGTCGGCCAGGTTAGGGCAATGATGCCCCACTTGCCAGCGGATGATCGTCCACTCGAGCCCCGACGACACTGCTGCCGCGTAGGGCGGGTTGATGGCGTTCACCTTCGGGTATGCTAAAAGTTTCTTATCGTTTCTTGTCTTTCGTCCTCTTCCTCCTCCTCCTCCTCCTCCTCCTCGTCCTCTTATCCTCATTCTCCCCCCTCTCCCTCCTCATCATCATCCTATCCCAGCTCATTTTCCCCCTCCTCCCCCTCTTCCCCCTACATATCCTTCTTCCCGCCCTCGCCCATCCTCCCAGCAGCTCCTCAGTTTCTTTATCATCATCTTCCTCCCCCCCCGCCTGCCCATCAACCCCCCTCCTCGGTGCCTCCTCATCGTGCCCCCCAAAACTCTGCCTACGCCCCTTGCTATGCTATGCTATGTTGTTGTCTTTTTGTATGTTGATGTTGTTATTTATACCGTCAGGTGTGCTATGTATTACATGTAGCGCGTGCGTTCTTAATGCTTGAGGGGGGGTGTTTTAGTTGGCCCCTCCAGCGACCTTCTCGATAGCAAGCTTCCCGTTCGTGGCAGCGGCCTCGACGGTGGTGCTGCACTTGTAGTCGATGGCGTTGAGGCCCCCATTCGTGTGGGAGCAAGACACAGAAACAAAGGACATGTCCTCCTTAAGGAGCGGCCTCAGCATGCCGTTGGAACTCTTGGCCAGGTGATCGTTGAACAACCACTGCGCGTCGTCTTTGGGGTTCACCTCGAACGCGATGGCGTTCTTAGTTTCCGAAAGCACAAAGCCGTCCAACAGAATCTGCGCCAACAAGTCGTGGACGTCGCACGGGTCGAGGCCGATCCCGCACCTGTTCCGCACGTGGCAGCCCATCTTCTTGGGGAAGACAAAGCTGACGTAGGCCAAGTCCTTCTCGATGAGAAGCTTCAAAATGGCAGCGAGTTTCGTCTTCGTCTGCGCATCGTCGGCACTCGATGGGTTGTCATTTGTCAGTTCGTTGATGTATGGAGCCACCTCCTGCAATGCCGCCTCCATGTCGAGACTGGCTGAAAGTGAAAGAGACCGAGGACCTGGCAAGGATCGCGACTGCCTCAAGGAGTCTGGGCCACAACGGCTATGTCGAGCCCCCCACCCCCAAAACGCGATGGGTATATCCCAACATAAGACACGGACAACGAAATTCTGCCGACCTGTGTCAGGTTCATGCGTGGGAGAAATGGAGACATCACGACCTGAAGCCTACCAACACCAGAACTGTTTTCAATGTTATGTTGCATAAATATGGTGTTCATGTTGTCCAAATCTGGCACCGTTGGCGCCGAAATCTGAAGTTGTGGTCCCAGAAATTTGTTGTTGTTGTCACCGAATTATGATCATTCGATGCTGTTTTTGTATGTCTATCTTTGGTTAGGGAGGTTAGCTAAGTGAGGTTAGCAATTTGCTAAGTGAGATAGCTAAGCTGCCAAACGCAGCCCTATCCACCATAGTGCGGATGTGCTATCTACTTACTAAACACGTCTAACTTGCCTTGTGGAAGAAGCCAAGATAGCTTAAGTCACTCATGTACTTGGCCGAATGCCCAACAAGGATAGGGAGGATTCAGGGCGGGATGACTACGTTATATCTTAAGATAGCTTGGTTATATGTTAGGTTATATGTGCTTCTATCCTATGCAACTGCTTAGCACGACCCTCGGTCACCCCACGATCGCCGGACCCGGGGCCCGGGACGGGCGCAGGACCCAGGACCCGGAACCGGCGCAAGCCCCAGGACCCGGCACCGGCGCGGGACCCGCTCTGGCGAGGGGGGGGGGGGGCTCACGCGAGCTGACGCGGGCTGACGTTTTTCCGGCCCCGGGGGGGCCCGGGACCCGCCACCCGGGACCGGCGCGGGGCCCGAGACCTGGGACCCGCGCGGGACCCGGGACCCGGGATCGTCCCGACCAGCGCGAGACCCCGGACCCGCGACCCGGGACCGGCTCGAGCGGAACCCGGGACTCGGCCGGACGATCACCGGACCCGGGGCCCGGGACGGGCGCAGGACCCGGGACCCGGAACGGGCGCGAGCCCCAGGACCCGGCACCGGCGCGGGACCCGCTCTGGCGAAGGGGGGGGGCTCACGCGAGCTGACGCGGGCTGACGTTTTTCCGGCCCCGGGGGGGCCCGGGACCCGCCACCCGCCGGGACCGGCGCGGGACCCGAGACCCGGGACCCGCGCGGGACCTGGGACCCGGGACCCGGGATCGTCCCGGGACCCGACCGGCGCGAGACCCGGGACCCGCGACCCGGGACCGGCTCGAGCGGAACCCGGGACCCGGCTGGGACGACCGCCGGACCCGGGACCCGGGACGGGCGCAGGACCCAGGACCCGGAACGGGCGCGAACCCCGGGACCCGGCACCGGCGCGGGACCCGGCTCTGGCGAGGGGGCTTCGGCAACTTGTGCACTTACGGACTTGCATGTTGCTTCTAAGTAACTTGCGCTAAGTGCGTAGCGCGTACTTATATAAGTCCTCGCTAAGTTCCGCTAAGTTATGCTAAGTTGTTGCTAAGTTCTGCTAAGTTGTTGCTAAGTTCTGCTAACTATTGTTATGTTTTGCGATGTGTTGATCAATTGCCCGATGAGGCCCCGATACCGTAGCCATTTTGGCCTCAAGCCGACGACATGGAACGGTCGAAAAGGCCCCGCGTGATCGAGTTGGTGCAATCTTTGGGCCTGGCGATTCCTCTGAGCGCGGTTGGGAAGGTAGCGCGTGAATTGCGCCGCCACGACGACGATGAGGACATCCCCTTGAACAGCATTCCTACAAAAGTGCAGAATTACATGTCGAGCATCGAGGCTCCTTTTGGGCCCCTGGTCAAGCATTTGCACTTGCCCTTGAAAACTGGTGGTTATCTTGATTGGCCGATATGCTGTCCATTTGTTTTGTTATATTTCATGTGTAACAGAAGTTTCGCTTTCGGCGCGCTCCTTCGAGACCGCGTCGCGGGCGGACTGGCGAATATCGTTGCGTGGGCAGACGAAACGACGTCAGGCAACCAACAACGACCAGACATGAAACGCACTTTTCTGTCGATGTACTGGTCAATCGCTGACCTACCAGAATTTTTCAGAAGCAGTGATCATGGATGGTGGCCCATCGGGGTTCTGTCGCACGATTCTTGTAAACATGTGGATGGCGAGGTTTCTGGGATTATGAAACACGTTTTGCGTTTTATGTTTATGGGCCAGAATAATTTTGCCGTGGGTATTAGTTTCGACGTTTGCGGCGCGATGACAACGATCAGGGGGCGCCTCGCAGCCGTCTTGCAAGACGAAAAGGGGCATAAACAAGTTGGCTCTGTGAAGGGCGCATCGGGTACAACATGTTGTCTCATGCGCAAGAACGTTGTATCCACTGATGTCGGCCAAGTCCAGAATAGCGATTATTGCGTTCACGTCACATCGCCAGATACAGCATCATTCATACTGCAAGACGACGCGTCTTTCTGGGAGATGTGCGATGAGCTGGTCCAGCGGAAGACAACGCAACGACCATCTGAGTTCAATCTGTCCCAACAGATTTTCGGCATATGCTACGACAAAGACGCTCTCCCATTCGACGTGCCCCTTCGGCGGTTTTACAAGCCAGTGTCATCCGTGTATTGGGACTGGATGCACATATACTTAACAAGTTCTGGGGGTCATGCAATATCACGTGAACGAGATGTGTTTGGACATGCAAGATCACGCGGCGGTGACCATGGCAACGCTGGACGATATGATGGTTCGGTTCGTTACTTTCAACAAATCACAAGTGAGGTCGCGGGGGGACCGTTTCTTTCAAGGCCACGTGGATCAAACGCGCGGAAGGCACATGACAGGTTTTGCTAGCGACATGGTTACAGTGTTAGGTTTCTTGTTTTGGTTCTGTACGCGATACCTTCTGCCTGAAGGGAAGCTCGTGGAGCAGTGTCGCGCTATTTCTTTGGCCCACGAAATCATTGCACTTTTGCGGACTGGAGACGCAGCTGTCAGAAGAACGATTGAGCTAAAGAGCTTGGTTGCACGCTACCATCGGCTACTGCGAGATTTATATTCCACGAGCATTTTGAACATCAAAGCGCACTTGCAGCATCACCTCCCGACTTGTTTGGAGACTGCGGGGTTCGGCTTATCTTGCTGGTCCAACGAACGGAGGAACAGGTTGCTGATCAAGGCCGCGCGGCATTACACGCACGCTGGCAGCAGCAAGTCCGAGTCATCAATGTCAATTTTGGTCCGCTTGATAATGGACTTGGAACATCGGCTCGAGACCTCTAGTTTTGCAAAAGACGAACTGATATTCCGCAAAGGAAACCCAGCAAAACGAACGTCAGAATTCAACGAGTACCTTCCTGCTTGCATATCACCGACATCTGTTGTATCCGCGCTGAAAGCCAGGTGGGGGCACATGATATTACGGGCAGGCGACCTTGTTTTATTGCAGGGGGAGGGCGAGGTCAAAGCTTTTGGGCTCGTTCAACTTTGCGTGCAGGGAACTGAACGCGACACCCACGCGAACAGGATTTTGTTGGTGATCCATTTCTTGACCAGGTCTGCCCTCGATCACAAGTTGTACAGCCGCGCAGATCGCGCGGCGTTCGTGGACATCCAATGTGTACAAGCGATATATTTGCGCGTTGAGCACGATGACGGTTTCATTGAGCCCCTTTGGCCAGCTTGACGTGCACGCTTTTTATTATTATTATTATTATATATAAAAGAAAAAAAAACTGCGATTCCCAAAGCGATGGGGAGGGGGGAGTAGGATGAGGAGAAGGAGGAGGAGGAGGAGGAGGAGGGCGAGAAGCTGACCCCCCCCCTTGTCACCCCACCCACCCCCTACCAGTTCTGCTTTGCCCCATACGACGACGACGGTTCATAGGCGGCTCTGCCCCTATGACAGCGACGACGGCCGCCGACGATGTCACCCGCCTCCTCCTGCCCCCGAGCCCGCCCGCCACCGCCGCTATCCTCCTGCAACTCCTCCCCCATTTTTCTTTTGGTCGGAACGCGCGAGCGAACGTCCTGCCGACCAACTCCCCCGTCCCCATTTGGCTCAGATGAGGGCCGCAGAGGTGAGGGAGATCGCCGATGGCGTCGATTTCGGCCCGGCGTCGCTGGGGCCAATAGCTGTGATCACAGAAGGGCTCGCTGGGAACACGGGCACGGTCACGGCCGAGCAGAGGGCCAGGATACTGCAGCAACACAACTGCCTCGCTCGCACTCGCGGCCGCAAGAGGTATCCAGAACGAGAGCTCCTGGTGATCGGACGCGTGGACCGCTTGCGGCAGGCGTGCGAGGCTGCGTTGGTGTGCCTTCGCGGCGAAAGCGAGGCCAGGATCGCATCCGTTCCAGAGAGTGCGCCGCCGCGGCGGCCGCGCCAGGAACCGCGGCCGCCGCCGTTCCCGCCGCCCTGCAAGGCCCCAGAACCGCCCGACCCGAGCAGCCTCCCGCCAGCCGAGACCCCGCAGCACGACTCCTGGACGAAGAACGCCTCGGAGCTGCTCGACTCAGGCGCCAATGTGCTGCTCGCTCTCGCCCCCGCGTGCTCTCTGAAGATTGGTTGAGGGAGGGTAGGTTGGAGGCAGGAGTGGAAGCAGGGCTCCCCAGCCCCACTCTGAGACCATCAGTTTCTAGCGCAAGCCAGAGGCCCCAGGCGGGGGCGGAATGTTCTTCTCAGAACCTTAGATGGCCCCCCGCGCCCCCCGCAGGCAAAGGCTCCAACGACGGCCCCGAGTGCTACCCCAGCCCAGCGCAGTTGCAGGACAGCCTTTCTGCGCAACCTCTCCTCCTTGAGCCATGCAACAGCTTTCCATGTCCTCCTCCTGCCATCATCACTCCCAGGTCAGGCTTGGGAAAAAATGCACTCCGACCTTCGCGTTGCGCATCCTCCTCCTCCGTGGGCCCTCCAGAGCCCCATGCAGAAATTTGGATGCGACTTCCCCTTGGGCCAGAGCCTCCTCCCAAGGGGAGGTCGCACTCAATTTCTGGGCCAGCCTTCTCTCTGTGTCG